CAACTAGGGCTGGGATAAGTTCCAGTGTCAGAAAGCTGACTGTTCTCAGATTCAGCTGGTTTTCTTAAATAATTCCTCCCTGAGTTAGGCAAGTCTGGGGTGAATTTCTTTATCAATAAAAAGTTGAGTCTAACCATTTTGCCCAGTTTGTTATTATTGCTATTATGCTATTCAGTTAATTTTTGAAGGTCCTTTATCCTGTTTCTTCTTCGATGCCTGTCCAAAAATGGACTTTAAGGCTAACCTTTAATTTCTAAGCTCTCTCCAATATGTTTAAAGACAATAAGCTGCTTTTTACTCTGCTGTTTCTCAGGTGGTGTTTATATATCTTCTCATTATTATTGTTTTGTCCAAATTCATGTTTTTTTTTTTTTTTTTTTTTTTTTTTTTTGGTACCCAGTATCAAACTCGGGTCCTTGCGCTTGCGAGGCAGGTGGCGGAACCCACTGAGCTAAATCCCTGGCAAAGAAATGCTTCTTTGTGATTAGTTACCTGAAATAATGTTTTTAATTTACAGGAATATCACTCTTTATCCAAAAAATAAATTAGTTAATCATATAATAAAATTCTTGGTAGAAATGGGCTGTTCACATTAATATTTTATATTTATTAGCACATTTGCAGTATGCAATGTTTATATTCCTTGCATGGAGTTGGTACATTTACATAACCCATTTTATTTCCTGTTTTCATCCTCACTTTGCCCCCTTCCAATCCTCTTCTGATCTGTCCCCCTTCCCTGCAAACTACTTCCTGTTATTTATCTTATATTTTGCTCTTTATTTATAATTTGTGCTTCTCATATGAGAGAAACCATGTGATATCCAAGCTTGTTTGTCTTATTTATTTCACTTAACATTATGGTCTCGTTCATCAGAAATAATTTATTTTTAAATGCTATTTTTGAGAGATATATTTCAGGATGGCAGTGTTTTAGTTGAAATGAGTCCAGATGTTAAGGGCAATAAATATGACAAACTGTGATATATACAGGAACATGACACAGGTCTGGCTGTGTGGATGTACATGGATGGGCCTTTAAAACATTGAGAGAATTATCATGTCAGGATTTTATATTAATAGAGTATGACTGCATAATTTAACAGCAAGACCACAGCCCCCTTTCCCTACTTTTCAATGAACAATTATTAGTAGAATCGGAATTTCATTATGTTTACTGCAGGAATGAAACTGATTAAAACATTAAGATAGAAAACAGATTAATGTGTCACAAGTCCACAGAGGAAATGGAAATCTTACCCCTAAAAAAGTGAAATAGGAGATAGGTTTGCTCAACCAGTTAAAACTTTTTAATTTAACTAAAACTTCTTTCATTCTTGAACTTCTATTTAATTTTGTTGAATGCCTATCTTTGGATATGTCACATATCTTGTTTCTGTCTTACAACTTGTACTACTTTATTAGAAAATTAAAGCTAAAATATTTTTGGATTTTTCTTTACTATCTAAATGGTAGCTTCCCTTACCATGATTTATCTCCTCATCTGGTTTACAGCATAGGGTGCAAACCTCTGCTGTGTTTTCATTAGAAGTCTCCTGCATTCTTACTGTTGGACAATTCCCCGAGCAGCTAACCCTCAGCACTGGTCTCTGATGGTCAGCACTGGCTTTCTCCAGTGACTCTTATGATTTGCTTTTGTCTTAATATCTGAGGTTGGGCAAAGTTATCACCTGGGTAGCACAAATTTAATGCTAAATCTCACAGGAAGCAGAGCTCTTCTGACCCAATGTATCTTGGGTTAAATCTTTCTGTTTGGGGTCTTTTTTTCTTTTTAATACCAATAACATTAGAAATAGGAAACCTTGCATTACACATCTCTTCATAATACATGGTTATTTGGATATCTGTATGAATTGTTTAATCATATGCATAAGTATTAGACATAAGCATACAAATATGGCTTTGTATCTAATTTAAGTTTTGGAAATCCATGGGAAATCAAGTTAGCAAAAATTTGAGATGAAAGCAACTCAGTATGGTTAATTTCAATGCAAGTATTGCTTGAATGCTAAATCTGGATCAGAGGTAGGATTATAAATGATTTTATTTCAAGTCCTTACATTAACTCACATTTTATTAAGCAGGGAATATACCCTAGTCTCTTAAAGTATCACCATACTTTATAAGTTTTTCCTATTATGCTTAAATATGAATGTTGAGCTATAAGACTATATTTCTGAAATTCTTCATTTATAAATAGAAAATAATAGGGGGAAATTGATTCCCTCTTGCTCTTAGTATGTCCCCAAGGGTTCATGTGTTGACAACTGAATGCTCAGTGTGGCCTTGATGGGAAGTGGTTGGAATCTTCAAGGGGGCTCTGGAAGGGAGAGTGGTGAAGCCATGGAGGGCACTGCCCTCTGGAGGAACTGAGGTTGATCTCCTGAGTTCTTGGTTCATTCTGGTGAGAACAGAGCGAGCCTGGACCCGTTGAATCTTTCTCTGGCTCTCTCTCAGTCTTATCTTGTTATCTCTCCATTTTGAACTTGCTCATACCATGACAGCAGCTGCCATAGCATCATGTGAACTGTGAGGTTCTCAGGGTTTGAATTCATCGAAATAAAATTTTTTATATGTTACCCAGACCCATGCATTTTACTATATAATGAAAAATGCACTAATAAACATGTACATTTTTGCTTATTTTATATGTGCATATATGTACTAGATATGTGTATGCATATTATACATGTGTATTTGTTGGAATAAGCAGAGTGCGGTGGCACACATGCTGTGGGAGGCTGAGGCAGGAAGATTACAAGAATCAGCCCATCCTGGGCAGTTAAGTGACCTAGCAAGACTTTGTCTCAAAAAACAAAAATTGGGAGTATAGTTCAGTGTAAAGCTCTGGGTTCAATATCATATACTGCAAAAATAAAGATTTTTGATATTTACTCTTTATTAAATTTTCATTCAGATTCTCATTTATCTTACTCAATGTTATTCTAAACCTAGATAAATGCAGAAGTGGTAAGGGCTACCAGTCAGCAATAGGACTATGCAATGTTAAAGTAAGTTAATATGATGACCAGGGACTGAAGCCTCACTTAGGAGACAAAACTACTCAAGTATCAAAGGTGACTGACTTCAAACCTGCTTGGCTTGCAAATAAACAACTTGGGTTATTTCTTATGAATGCTAATATTAAGGAAAAACCAAGCTTAATGCAAATCAATCATATATAGCCACAACACTTTATTATAAAAATTTAAAGTTTTCTAGGGACTTTCCAATAGGTCAGACCAAATAAGATTAACTATATCATTATAAGCAATCAAAGAACTTTATTTTCCTTCTGCATTTTTTCCACAAATACTTTCTTTAACACTTCACCATTGGAACACTAAAACGCTTTTCAGCTTAGTTTTTCTCAATTCATGAATTGCTTCTTACCCAAACTCGAACACTGTATTGTGCTTCAGATTTTTCTTTAACAGTAGGAATGGTTAAAGTGTGATTTTCATTGTAAGTAAAGAATAGCTGTGGAATTTCCAGGGATATAAAACTCTCACAGTAAAGTAAATTATACCAATTATTAATATTTCTCAGGTTGATCTTAGAAAGAACAAGGAAAGGCATGACATAGATCTTAGAGTCATTGTTAAATAAAAAAAAAAAGCATTCATCACTTTTATTTTTGGCAACAATTCACAAAACTCATAATTTCCATTTTTATGTGTCTGGCAATAAAATAGCTGTATCTACTGGAGGGCATTACTAACTTCACCATAGCTGGTGCTCTCTTCTCCTTGAATATTTTCTGATTAATAACATTCACCCTCTTCTGGAGCCCTATAAAGTCATTATACAGTAGTTCCCAAAATGTCACCTGTGTACTATCTGAATCAGAGTCACCTGGGACAAGATCAAAGCTATACAGCAGTTGCTCAGGTATTCTCATAGAGCTACCAAATCAGGGCCTCTAGGCTACAGCTCTGATGAACGTGGCACTGTAAATAAGGGCCTCAAACACAATTGGAGCTTGTAGTGTGTGTCAAGACACAAATCTCTCCAACCACTATCTCTATCCAAAATACCATCTAGGCTCCGGGCTGTTGGCCTGAAGAAGAAAAGATGGGATTTTCAGAGGTAAAGGAAGTAGATCAGAGCTCTGCAGACACACCAAAATATCCAGTGCTGAGATTTTCTCATGAGCGTGTCAATTGCATATAGTGTTTTGGCTTTTTTAGCTAGTGTGGGCTGGTGACATCATTAATGATATAAATTCTAGAAAACATAAATTCTCTATTCCAAAGTAGAAATTAAAAACATTTAGTATTAATGATAATAATAGCATATACTGAAAGCATGCATGTATTTATCATTCAGTCCTGAAGTAAACTTAAAAGATATGCTACAGATAAGGAAACTGAAGTTTAGATAAAAAGATAATTTACTTTTTAAAAATTGAAGAGGATTTAAAAATGTTCATGATTGAAATTGGTTTACAATTTATGTACCATTTATAAAAGTCATTTTAGAAATACAGACTTTGACAAGGTTGCAAGTCAGTGTTGATGTCAAGAGAAATACATTTATAAAACTGAGTAATAAAATATTATTTTCATTCTATTAATTAAATTAGATTTGAATTGAAATGCTATCTGCACATGGTAAGTTTTCCTTGAACTTTGAAGTTAATTTAAAATATATGTTTTAAAAATTAGGATAAACTAAAATTACAACATGAAAACTGTACTCCAACTTCCTCATGTTGTATATAAATAATGTAATCATTGCTAGAAAAATACATTTCACCTTAGCTTACTTTCATAAAATATGTAAAGCGCACTCTTTAATGTGATAAGAGAAGCACATACAAAATCAATAGTTTTATTTAATTCATACTTTTCTCTGAAGATGGTACATTATATTACTAATTCATTCTGCCTAAAAATTCAGATATCAAGATTATGCTGTATAAAAGATACAATTCAAGAAATATATTATTGGATTTTCCAAGCATGACTCGATCTTACCTGCTGGTTTACAGGAAAGTTTCTGTTGATTTTTTTAATCTGAAATGATAAATAAATGAAGAAGTGAGAATAAAAAGTATCAGGTAATATATGAACTGACTATTTGTATAAGGCTTGCTTTTCAGTGAGTTAATATATAATAATAATATGTTGACATTTTGAATCATTGCATATTAAACACCAACTACCTCTTTCACTCTTACAATTATCCTAAATATCATGCATAAACATTTTGATAAAGATTTATATTTAATATATTTTCATGTGTGAGAAGTCAGCTCGTATTTGCTTACAATACTAAATGATTATCAAGGAATGTAGAGCATAATATTCTGTAGTTTTGTTTTTTCAACTTTGAAATTAGATAATATCCAATGAGTTTTAACATTCAAGAGAACAGAGGAAATGGAGAAGTCAAACACTAAAGTATATACTTTGAAATAATTTTAGTCAGCATCCCAAACACAATGTGACACTTATTTAAGACAATTTAATGGCTGGAATTTTAAAAGAATTTAAAACAAATCTTTAAAGAGTCTATTTCCTCTATAGGCATGTCATGGAAACAAACTTAAAAGTGAAATAAAAATGAATATTATGTTTAGATAAATGACATTGGAAGACAAAAGGTCTTTGTTTCACAATGGCTTTCCTAAATAAAACCAATTATTATTTTTCATTGGTTTCTAGAGAAATTCAGTGCAAACTTAATATAATAAAGCATATCAGACTGAAATTAGAATACTTTCACTTACACATTATTTTTCTTTTTAATTCCCTTTTTTCTTCCTTGTGAATGTGAAATAATAGGCAATGTCCTGGATATAGGCCACAAATTTAGAAAGTAATCAATTGGCTCCTCTATGAAAATAGACTGATTTACAAGATATTTGGCATTTAAAATTTTAAAATAAAAGAAAATTTTAAAATATACATGGACAGAAATCTATACTTCTTACATTTTTAAGATAATCTAAATTGTTTTTTAACTCTTGTAACAATCTGGTTAGGATCTCTAAGACTCCTAATATCCTAAACACAAACAAAGATAGTGTGGAAATGTAGATATTAAGAGCTGATTCCTAACTTTATTTATATATCAATCAAATTTATATTAATTTATATTGTGTAACTATATTTTTGCTAGTTCTTATAGATTGAGATGGATTATTAAATTAAATTAATATTTTACATGGACCTTTGTTTTAATAGTGTACTGCCCAGCTCTAGAACTTTCAATTATCTTGATCTAAATAATCTTTTATAAAATCTGGAATATTGGCAGTGCAGACAGGCCCTGGAATAACAGCTGTGCAAAATGAAAACAGCTGGTGATCACAGCATTATGTTCTGCTAACTCCCCTAGCCGGGGCTGGTGGTCCACTGTCGTTGCCCAGTAGAATGTTTCTTAGAGCATCCGCTATATTTACCTATGTAAAGCTATTATATTCTACTAGTTTTTGCTTTTTTCTCTACAACTTTCTTTAGTATTTCATGCAGAGCGCAGAGATCAATTAGTAACATCGGAATCGTACCTTCTTTTCCCTCAGTTACTGAAATGGCGTTGCATAATATTAATATGAGAAGATAAATTGTGTTGCATATTTTCTACCACTCCTTAATTACTAGCCAAGAATACAGAAGCAATTGAGATAGATAAATGTGAAAACAAAAGGGAAGTTAAAGAAAATGTGCATTAATAATGAATGAAGTATGCCAACAACTTAAACACAGCCTTAAAATACCAATAATTAGTATGTTAGAAAAGTCATGTTTAGAAACCTGTTAAATTGTCTCTAAGAACTATTTTTAGATTTTTGTAACCTAGTACAAATATAATAATACAATAGAAAATGTTATTAATGACGGAAAAGTCAAGGATTGAAGAAGTGGCATGCTTAATAATGGAAACACTAACAAACTGTATCTGTCATTCAAATGATGTCACTAAAGCTTTCACGTTCACACACTGCTCCTATTTTATTTCTTTACTTTGAAATTTTTAAATTTAATTTAATATTTTGGGTACTGGGGACTGAACGCAGGTCCTGGAGGTTGCGAGTTTTTTTTTTTTTAAATTTAATTTTATTATTTTCTGAGGCTAGACCTTTGTGTTTCCTCATTGCCTATCCTGACTTCTAACTCACAATTCTGCTTTCCTCTCCGAAGTTGCAAGGACTAGGGCCAGGGATTTGACTCAGTGTTTCTGCTGCCTGCCTCACAAGCGCAAGATCTCAAGTTTGATCCCTGGTACCACAAAAAACAAACAAAGTTGAAAGGACTACAGGAGCCCACCATGTCAAGCTGCACACGGTGTTTTCACATGACCTAACTACATAATGACATATATTTGGGCAATTTATCATATCCTGTAAATCTGAGTAAAAATATTCAGCTAAAACTCAGGTGACACTTAAAAATTTCTATGCATATTGTTAGGTTATTTGATATTAGAAAATTTTCCATGATACTGGAGATTGAACTGAGTGCCTTTACACTGAGACACAACCTCACATTTTTCAATTTAAGACAGATACTCGCTAGTCTCTATTTGCCTGGGCTGAGTTTGAACTTTCTGCTTCTCCTGCCTGTACCTCCCAGAATAAGGACATTACAAGCCTGTACCACCATGGTCCAGTTGGATTTGTTTTGCTTTTTTTCATGTTTTAAATTGTGTTGTAGTAAAATAATCTACTCATGTCCGTTCATGCAATAATGGAAATATAAACCAAACTGCTGCAGCAATGGAAGATGGCAGCAACCACGTGGTTGGTTCATGCTCGCCATGGCATAACTGTGCACCCAGATGCCCTCATTTTGGCAGCAAGGAAAATGAATATAATTTATGTAGCTTTCTTTTGCCCACACACATTCAAAGACAATTCTAATATTTCCTACAGCAAATAAAGCAGAACAGCATAAATTACTCCATTCCCTATACTAACATCTAAAAATAAAAAATTAAGGAAAAAATTGAAATCTCACCTCTTAACAGTTCTCAACATTCTAACAGGTTCACCTACATATATTCCCTAAAAATTGCATGAAAAATGTACTTCAATTAAAATGAATTTGCAGTAAGCATTGAAGTATTTTATCATGGTAAATATAACAAATATGAACAAAAGTGAATAATGTATATTCATTAAAAATGCTCATGATATTATTCATTGATAAAAAAGCATACTTACAGTGTTGCAGTTAAAAACAAAATTATTTTTTAAATCGTATGCACACATACATAAGAAGTCATGTACACTCCTATACTAACACATTTTGATTCTGTAAATATGAAAAAAATTAATTTGAAATATACACACATAAAAAGATGGTGTGTAAGACAAGGATAATTTTTTAAAAATATAAGCAATTTTATTTTTGGTTTAGGGATGATAGTATTTTCTTCTGCTCTATTTTTCTCATTTAAAAATACACCTAATTTATATAATTAAGAAATAATTAAATTAATGCAATGTTTATTTTCTTGATAAAGAAAACGTATACTTACTGTATAACATTCTTACTGTATAAAATTCTGAAAATATAAAATGCTATCAAAACGAAGCCCAAAATATAACTGTTTATAAGGACAGATGTTTGCTTTATCTATTCTCAGCCTGCATTTTGAAGTCATTCTTGACATTTTAAAGGCTTATAACAATGCTCAGGCTTTCCTAGTGCACATGTGAATACACAATGATACTCCCAAACTTACAATGGAATCGCATCTGTTTAAATCCATGTTAAATTGAAAACATATTTACTACACCTATCCTAACAAACATCACAGCTCTTCAACAGTACACTGTAGATTATTGCATGCCATATCTTTAGCCAATGAATATGTTTTCTACTAAATGTTTTATTTTTGCACCATGGAAAATTTGAAAAGTCTTAAAGTCATTGTTAGTGATTAAGTATCTAGTATCTACCAATTAGACACAATTTATTTCCTTTTAAATTTAGAGTCATATGCTGGAAACCCAAAAAAGTATATGAACTGCTTGTATAGAAGGCACTGACAGTAATTTTTGACAAATACTTGTTTTATAAGCTTAAAAAATAATATCAATAAGACAGATTAATTTTGGTAAGAAAGATATGTTGGAAATATATATTATTTTCAATTTACCTTTAAAATAAGCCAGTGTTCATGCAATTGTGGTAGTACTGGGTTAATTTCACACAGTAAAGTAGTAGACTATAACTAATATAATAATACTTCAGCTCACAAAGGCTCCTGAACAATTTGGTTCCAACAAATGCATCCTTCAAACTTTTGCTTCCATTCATGAACTTGGCATCAAGTAACAGATAAGATCATGGCCATCTTCTTTGAAGGAACACAAATGTGGCTATCTTCCCCAGTATCAGGGAACAAATAAAATTCATGAACTGAGTAACCACAGTATATTCTTAGTAATAAAATTAATTCAGAAAACAAAGTTTCAAAAATTTATGCTTTTGTAAATAAAGCTAATTTTAAGCCATGGAAATTAAAATATCACTGCTTTAAGATTATCCTTCAAATACTAAAAAATGAAAGTTTTCCTAATGTATTTTATGTTAAAGTTCTTAGAAAATAATACTACTTATGTTTTATCCAGACTAACATTTGTTGTTAAAGTAGCTGAGAAATTACTACCATGTTGAACAAAAGAAGGGCAGTGTCTGAACACGAGGCTTACACAGATAAAAGGATATAATTGCAGTGCACACAAGAAAACCTGTTGCTTATGGAGCATTATTACTTAAGCTATTAATCCTCAGGCAATAAAAGCAGCAAGATGATGTAGACTAATTCACCAACACATCATTTTACAAGAACACCAAGTGATATAAACTAATATAAAATAAAATGTATAAACTAATATAAAATAAATTGAGATAAATAAAAGATATACGAAAGCTTCTGGTCCAGAGCAAAAGATAAACCCATAAATTATATCTTCAGCTCTGCTTGATTTCTGAGAAGATCACTTCTCACTAGCTACCCATGCAGACTCAGCATTTTTTCCTTATTCTAGAGCAAAAATTAA